ACGTGTATATACACGTGTATATATACGTGTATATATACGTGTATATATACGTGTATATATACACGTGTATATATACGCGTATATATACGCGTGTATATATACGCGTATATATACGCGTGTATATATGTGTATATATACGCATGTGTATATATGTGTATATATACGCATGTGTGTAAATGGTGTATAAAGAGTAAACATTGTGGGAGCTGGAGCAATTTGTTTGGAAAAATCACAGAATATTTTCCTGCTCCGCTCCACTCCGACGGTTATGCTCTAGCTCTTAACGAGCCGTGCAATACACACCCATTATAAAATCTGAAACAGACCCAAAATGTACCTGAAACTTAATCTGTGACTTCATGAAAACTGTGCTAGCTATCAAAATGTCCATTTGGCTCAATAAAATGCAGCGTTTTGTCTACGTTTTAAACTTTGAATCATGTTTCTACATTAATGTACGGCTAGTCAATATGGGCCCAAAGTTAAGTGTTTTTTTAGCTCTCTTCACGCCGCAACCCCATTCAAGTGAATGGAGAAATTTTGCTCCGTTTTTGGGGATTTTCGGGAATTTTCGGGAAAACCGCTAGGCAAATCTCTCCGGAAAACAGATAGCACACTATTCCCGATCAGGCCGCACATTTTGATGTATTTTTCACGCCGCTGTTGGCAACGCTGTGTGAGGAGAGGCGCGCCAAACTTTTGGATAAACCTGATTATTATTATTATTATTATGAAGCCCGATGGATAATATACAGTGTGCTTTGGCACATGCAGTTTTACTGCCTTTGTGCTACAAAGCCACACTGAATCAGGTTTATCCAAAAGTTTGGCGCGCCTCTCCTCACACAGCGTTGCCAACAGCGGCGTGAAAAATACATCAAAACTTGCGGCCTGATCGGGAATAGCGCGGAAACTATTTTTTGGAGAGATTCGCCCAGCGGTTTTCCTGAAAATCCCGGAAAACCCCGAAAAGTGGAGCAAAATGAAGTTTGGCGCGCTTCTCCTCACACAGCGTTGCCAACAGCGGCGTGAAAAATACATCAAAACGTGCGGCCTGATCGGGAATAGTGTGCTATCTATTTTCCGGAGAGATTCGCCTAGCGGTTTTCCCGAAAATTCCCGAAAATCCCCCACAACGGAGCAAAATTTCTCCATTCACTTGAATGGGGTTTCGGCGTAAAGAGAGCTGAAAAAACACTTAACTTTGGGCCCATATTGACTGGCCGTACATTAATGTAGAAACATGATTCAAAGTTTAAAACTTAAACAGAACGCTGCACTTTATTGAGCCAAAGGGACATTTTGATAGCTAGCACAGTTTTCATGAAGTCACAGATTAAGTTTCAGGAACATTTTGGGTCGGTACATTTTGCAGACGGTACCAGTTTTGTCTATTGCTCTGGAGCTCACATTTTTAACACCACAAACATAAAAAACACATTACTGCGTTTGCCAGTCTTATCTTTCTCACGGTATCCATATTTTGGCACTCAGACTCCTGCTAATTTGTTAAAAGGAGGCAGGAGTTTTGTTTAAAATCACTGTTCACTGTAAAGTTCCCTAATCAGTCTGCCTCTAACACCAGGTGCATGGCTCACCATGGCAACCAGTTACACACACGCACGCACGCAGGCTCTCTCTCTCTGTCTCTCTCGCTCTCTCTCACTCCGTCCATCTGTCTGTCTGCCTGTCTCTCTCACTCACTCAGTCTCTCTCTCCTCTCTGTCTATTTTTCTCTGTCTCTCTCTCCCTCTCTGTGTCTCTTTCTATCATACAGTCATTCAGGTCTTAGATATTTTTAGAGGACTTTCCCCCCTCCCCCCATTTCAAATTAAAAGCCCCACAGAATGAATTCTAACTGGAATGCTTGTGATGACGCCTCTCATTTTAGTGTCAAACATGATTCTGTCTCCTCTCCAACTCTCTCCCCCACCAGTCCCACCCTTTCAAAATAAAAGCCCCACAAATACAAGATTCAATCCAAGAGTATGAATCTAAAATGCAGAAAAGAGAGTAGCGCTATCTCAATTGAACCTGAATGACACTACCGGTAACATTGGCGTGTGTATATATTGTGATTTCTTCGGGCAGTAGAAGCCACACTGTCAAAATTTCTTTAGGAATTTTCTAGTTATTATTATTATTAAGCCCGATGGATAATATACAGTGTGCTTTGGCACAGGCAGTTTTACTGCCTGTGCCAAAGCACACTGAACAAGGCTTAACTGTGAGGAGGTTTACTCTTCATTGTTTACGTCACTGAGTCCTGTAGGATCAGGTGGTTTGTCTTCTGGTGGTTTGTCTTCTGGTGGTTTGTCTTCTGGTGGTTTGTCTTCTGTCTTCTGGTGGTTTGTCTTCTGGTGGTTTGTCTTCTGGTAGTTTGTCTTCTGTCTTCTAGTGGTTTGTCTTCTAGTGGTTTGTCTTCTGGTGGTTTCTGAGGACCAGGACTCTACCAAGTGTCTCGTAGCTTCTGATTCAAATGATGCTTCGACTGTCTGACGTCTTCACACTAAAACTAATACAAGTCTTTGAACTACATCCTCTGTTTGAATGAAGCGGTTCAATCTTTTCTTTAGTTTTTAAAGGTTAAAAAACAACAAACATGAATTGAAGCAGAACTGACCTATTTGTGATACTTTAAATATTGATCCAATGAAACCCTCAGAATGTTGTCTGTGAGCGTCATCAGATGTGATGATCTCAGAATGTAAACTGCACAAACCAAATGTTGAGTCTGCTGAGTGTTCAGATGTAAACTGTGGACCAAACACAAATCCACTGATGCTCAATGATGACTGATGGATTTCCTGTTTCTCAGATCAGGAAGTCACTTTGCTTCTGTTTACACTGTTGTTTGTGCTGACGGATCAGTACCACAACTTTAGAAAAAACACACTGACAATGTTGAAAAACTCTACAGACATATATAGATATATACAGATGAAGAGGAAGAGGAGGAGAGAGGCCCAGCAGTCTGGGTCTATAGCAGCATATCTAGGAGTTGGACCAAGGAAAACCTGAGCCAGCCCCAACTATGAACCTGAGCCAGCCCCAACTATGAACCTGAGCCAGCCCCAACTATGAACCTGAGCCAGCCCCAACTATGAACCTGTGTTCAAGGATTCATCGTTTAACGATCTGATAAATAGTACTTAAACCAGATTTAATGCTATTAATAGTTAGTAGTATTATAGTAGTATTACAGTAGTATTAATAGTTACAGTAGTCTTACAGATTTACAGTAGTATTACAGTAGTGTTAAAGTAGTAGTACAGTAGTATTACAGTAGTAGTAGCAGTATTAATGATGTCCATCTCTCTGGTCTCCTTCAGGATCTTCAGACTCTGTGCTCTCCTGTCCTGCTGAAGTGCCTTTGAGCCAGACGCTGAACCCGTTCCAGGTATGACGTCATCACTAACACTCGCAGCTGAGAGTCAACAATGTGTCACAGTGGTTTAGTTCCTCATCATCGTCTTCCTCATCCTGTGACATACGTTCACTCTAAATGAGCCATAAAACCAATGAGTCACTTTTCTTCTTCTTTGGTGCTTTATTCCTGCAGTCGTGTTCTCTTTGTAGGAGCTCATAGTTGATTCGTGAGTTTGTGGGTGTTAGTTTGCTTCAAGAGATAATTACTAAATCAGCTTCCTGCCTCAAAGATCTGCTGAGGAACTCCTAATGAGGAACTCCCTAATGAGGAACTTCCTGCAGATATTGTCAGGATATAAGTTTCTCTTTAGCCGCCTATTTTACATCTTTACTCTTAATTGTCTTCAACGTTCCCTTTTCTAGCATTCTTCATTTCACAAACAAACAAAGCATGAAACTAAGTAGAAACAGAATGAATCAGTTCCAACCTTTAAGATGACAGCAGGTTCAGCCTGACAGTCCAGACTAAACAAAGTGGATTCCTTCTTCTCAGCCTGCAGCTCGACTCTCTGTGGAGGCTTTAAGTAAACTCATTGCATCTTATTATCATCTCTGAACAGTTCTTACCAAATTTAACTGTTTGTTTTTTATTAATACACTTTATGAAAACAATAATAAATGCTGCTAAAATGCTAATTATGTCTACTATAACTACCACATCTCCCCGTAAATAAAAAGTTCTTTGCAAATATTTCACCACTGGTTTTGTCTCCTCGCAGCAGTCTTAATCTGTGGAGTTCATTAAAAGGTTATTTTTATTCGTCAGTTTTATTATAACCGTCAAATGTCCAGCTGACGTCTGAACGGTGCAAAGCTAAGATATTCAGCTTACTGTGATGTTAAATAAGGAGCTGGGACCAGACAATGTTTGCTGTTTGTGCTTCATTAATAATGAATCAATGCTCGACTAATACATTGATCAGCTGATCCTTTCTGTACTGGTTACGTCCCACCCTTTGACCCTTTGACCCTTTGGACACCCTTTGACCCTTCGGTCCACCACAGAAGACTCCTTTAAAACCAGCAGACCCCTCCAGCTAGCTAGCTAACCCTATAGCATCAACCAGCAGCTGAACAGGAAGTCAGTGGTTGAGTTGTCTCAAAGCCCGCCTCTGGCTTCATTTGGCTGCCTGTTGAAAGTATTTAGACTTTAATGTGCGTCTAAAAAAAAGCACGAGATAAGAAGCTACTGTTGGAGATGAGAAGCTGAGGCGTGTCCTGGTGGACCAGCGGTCATGGTGACGTTCCTGGTTCGATGCCACACAAGTTAATGTTGCTGAATCATCATCTTTGGTGAGATTAAATTTTGAGATTAAAACAGCTTCTCTGGACTCAGGTCCACTCCCACATTCCTGGATATTGTCTCTGCTCACAGATGAATTATTCATACTATTAAACCCGTTTCTATTTTCTTGTCCGGATTAGGTTCTTGGACTCGTCAGCGGCGGCTGAATGTTTGTCTGATGGAACATTCTGTTCACATTCCTCACTGAGCTGTCGTGGCTGTTTTCCATCAGCGCCGGTCCAAACATGGTCTCCATACGTTGAAAAAATGAATTCCTCCGTTTAGATTATCCAGAGCACAAACATCTGCCTTTCAAACAGAGCAATCAGCCCCGCGGAGCCGAGGTGTCCTTGGACCTTCCAGCTTCACCTTCTCCAAACATTAAGACAGACCGACACATGTTTGTGTTCTCCACAAGCGATGAGATGTAGAGGTTCTGCTCTCTGACGGACCTCCATGGTGCTGCTCTCGGATCGGTTTTATTCTTTGGAGAATCATCTCATCTGTTGTTAGAGGAATACAACGTGCAGTATGTTTATATTTCATGTTCATCTAGAAGCTACTTTTCTCTCTTTCTTATCGATTCATCTGCTGATCGTTTTCTCAACGGTTCTTAAAACTGACTGACAGTTTAAGTTAAGTTTATCATCACATGAACTATTGAACTTTATGTCTTTTGTGTTTGAAAAAGATATTTACAGAAATTGAAGCTTCTTACTGACAACGCGTTTAAAGTTCTCTTTTTAAACATTGTTCCTCTACATTAACATGTGACCGGTAGAGATGACCATGTGTACGGAGGCCTTTCTAAAATATCATTGATTTCTCCTGATCTCGTTCTCATTCACAGCTCGTTAGATAACGACTTTGTCTGAACCCTCAAACATAATTCAGACAAACACAGGAGACCAACGTTCTAGTTATCGTGAAGTTACTGTTTATGTTTTACTTAGTTTACAGACGTATTCCAACCACGATGCTTCTCGTAAACTCAGTGCTTTTGTCTGAACTGGAGGTGGAAGTGGAGGTTCATGGTTAGAAACTAAGCGCTCTGACAAAGTGTCAGATGAGAACGTGTTGGAGACCGAAACTATCTGTCCTACAAAATCTCTAGTCCTGGTCTTGTGTTCATTCATCATAGAACTGATCATCTAGAAATTCAAACCTACGTATTGTTGTTCAGGTTCCCGTCCCTCCAACCCAAACAACCTGAAACTAGAACAAATGTTCACCATGTAGTGGAACTCTGTGTTGTTATTGTCAGGTGAGACAATCTGTGCTAAATGAGCTGAGGAGCATGACAGCAGTTAGCGGTGCTCAGAGGTTCAGACGTGTGGAAGATCAGGTTCAGGGTCCTCGTTGGACCTGCAGAGAGTTACTTCTTCTTTTAACAAGCTTTTCTCATTTAAGAAGGTTTGTGTGAGTTTTGAACTGCTCGATAGTTGTGATCTTTTACAAATGGATCTGAGAGCTGGACTTTACGTTTGCGTTGTTACAGAAACCTCTTTGTGGTCGAGGCTTTAGAAACGTGCTGCTAATGACGATAATAATAAGTAAAAACTGGACCTGCTAAACCTTTAAAGGATCAAACCGTCCCCCAGAAGCTCAGCTGAGATGCTCCTCATTCAGCTCATTACTGTCCCTCAGTAGATATTATTTTCATCACTGATTAATCTGATTATTATCTTGATTAACTGACAAAGTAAAGTACGTTGTGGGGAACAAAACACCAGGAGCTAACGGTTAGCTCGCTAGCAGTCTCCACTCGGCCGTTATGTAGTCACTGTCACCGAGCTCCTGGCCTTTAAGTCTGTGATGGCTGCATGAGTCAATGTGGATGTGGAGACTGTGTGTGTTCACCTGCCGGATCACCTGTAATACAGTCAGCAGTGCAGATCCTGAGCCTGATCCTGATACTGGCCTCCAGAGAGCTGTGACTGAGTCAGTCCTGTCCGCCTGGTTTCGGCTCTAAACAACGAGGCCCCTCGTTCTTGAACCTCTGGCTAAATAAATAGTCGTTTCCTCTCAATCAGCCTGCTGCAGCAGCGCTCTGCTCTGATTACCTTCACATGCTTCACATTAGACTCAGCCCCGTTTCCTCAGCCTTCTGGCAGCTAATCAAACACAGGCATGAAACATGTTTGTGGGGGCGGGGTGTGGCCGTGCACACATGTTGATACATGCGCACACACACACACACACACACACGTGCCTGCATGCACTGATGGAGGCATGCTCTGCCTTAACAACCTCACATAAAACAAGGCGTACACATTCAGCAGACCTGGTTATTGTCACTTTTACTGCGTTCACACTGGAGGAGAGAGAGCGGCTTCATTTCAAACTTTATCCGAAGCACCTTGGTAAAGAATCACAGCTCAGCTTCACCTGGAGTTCTGTTGGTAGTAAACCAGCAGGCACCTGAAACTGGAAACATCCAACTCCAACTCTCCTTTCATTTCCTTTCAGCCCGGCCAGAGGGGGATTCCATTAGAGTGATGGTACACCATGTGTAACATAATAATATACAGTTTGGTGGAAATGCAGTTGTTTGTTGGCAGGAGAGAGAAGAAAGGAGTAAACGAGTTTCAGGAAAGTAGAAAAAGATATGTTCAAGAGAAACATTCAAGAGTGGAAATGTTGTGTTCACAGTTCAGTTTCTCAGTTCATGGACACCGTGAAGAAGTTATTGTCTTGCAGTAAAGATTTTAAAAAAACGACAACACTCCGAACAACAACGCTCCGACCATATTCTAAACGACCACGTTATGAACGACCACGCTCTAAACGACCACGTTATGAACGACCACGCTCTAAACGACCATGTTATGAACGACCACGCTCTAAGCTACGTTATGAACGACAACGCTCTAAACGACCACGTTATGAACGACAACGCTCTAAACGACCACGTTATGAACGACAACGCTCTAAACGACCACGTTATGAACGGCAACGCTCTAAACGACCACGTTATGAACAACCACGTTTTGAACAACCACGTTATGAACAACGTTACGAACGACAACGCTCTAAACGACCACGTTATGAACAACAATGCTCTAAACGACAACGTTATGAACAACAACGCTCTAAACGACCACGTTACGGATGACAACACTGTAAATGACCACGTTATGAACAACAACGTTACGAACAACTTTACGAACGACAACGCTGTAAACGACCACGTTATGAACGACAACGCTGTAAACGACCACGTTACGAACGACCACGTTACGAACGACCACGTTACGAACGACAACGCTCTAAACGACAACGCTCTAAACGACCACGTTATGAACAACAATGCTCTAAATGACCACGTTATGAACGACAACGTTATGAACAACAACGCTCTAAACAACCATGTAATGAACGACCAGTTTATGAACGACAACGCTACAATGACCTCTCTATGAACGACTTCTTCCCAAATGGTACTAAATGGTAGCTTTTGACTCTTTTACTCCCCGCGAATGTTCACATTATTGAATGACGTTGTTCGAGGGTTACTTTAGTAACTTTAGTCTTATTTTACTACTATAGTGTTAAATAACAATAATTTGGGTAATGACCTTGAACAACAGACTTTGACTGACGTGAAGGAACACCTCCATGTTATAAAGGGCCAAGTCGTTTCCAGAAACATCGTCCCAATCATGTGAGCTTTTTACAGTCCAAGTATAAATGTGTGCATCACATCAGTGTTAATGAGTCTTTAGTTGTATGTATCTGAGCAGGAGGTCAGGGTTGCACCAAACACACAAGACATTTAAAAAAGTTTCTCGTTCCTTATCCACCTGTGATTTCTCCAGACTGTCTGCTGCTCACAGATGACAGGAAATGGTCCTATTAGGCAGTAAGCGGAGCCAGCTGGAGCAGAGACCAGAGGACAGCGACAGTCTTCCGGCTTTTGTGTGGCAGCAATGGTTTGAATTCAGCAGGATTCTCTGGTCCAGAGGAGGAAGAAGAGGGAACATTATAGGCGTTATAAAGTTGGCATCAGTGGTTGTGTTGCTGTTTCTCATCTCTCTTTTCCCTCTGAACAAACGCTCATGATGCATCACTGACGACTCGTACGTCTGTCTGTCTTAATGCGTTCTGCATCCATGAAACCTCTACAGAGGGTTTGAACATCCGTCTCTACACTCGCTCATCCAGACTCACTCACAAGCTTTGTGACATTTTTACAATGACACGCAGACCCGATCAAACCTCCGATCCTCTGATTCTCCTTGCTGAACCTCAAATTTAAATTAACACGTAAACAAATAATTATGACTATATTAGCAAGATCATTTATCAGATTCATCTGCAGCTATAAAATTTCAGCATCCAAGTTTGAAGACAATCTTTTCAGATCTGAGGCCGAGTTCCTTCTGTCCTGATGACAGATGTTCACTGAGCTGATTGTCCAGATGTGAAAGCTGAAGTCAAGTCTCATTTCCAGTAATACTGATTTTATTGTTCCATTATATGTGTTATAGTTGGCGTACACTCGTTTTATTTATGAGGAGGAAATTAACTGTGATACAGACAGGAGACAAACTGTCCTCTACGTCCTCCTCTGTCCCTGTACTTCCTGTCATG